CATGAAATTCACAGTTTTGGAAGAAGCAAATTGCTCATCATAACTATGTACTTAGTTAGTCTGTTTAATACCAAGGAGCAGAGAAGATTTTCGAAGAATTAATGCATTTTTTACCAAATAATCAATAGAGCCCCGTCTCTAACACCAGAACCCCTGACCCAGGGGCCATGGAATTCACAATTTAAAAGAGGCACTCTTGCTCATCATAACTATGTACTTAGTTTGTTTAATACCCAGGGGCCCGTTTCATCAAAAGTCGTAAATATAAGCCTTAACTTAGTTGTACTTCCGGGGCTTACGCCAAAACTTAGTCGGGCGTAATTTACGTTTCACGAAGTGGTGTAGGTCTGGTCGTAAACTATAAGCTTAGTCTCAGGACTAATTCCTTGACAACGCTGCATTGCACATGCGCAAAAAACAAACATACGTATTGTGTACAATGTATGTAATACATTAATTTAATGAAAAATTACATGATGTTTTAGGGACCTTATAGAAGACATGCACCTTAATCTCATTGTTATAAAATATTAACTTCTTACAACATACCACCCGATTAAACTCCAAAATTTAAGGTCTGGGAAAAGAAAAAAAATGTTCTTGTAAATGAATGGAAAAAAATTTTTTTTTTATAATGTTAACATTATCACCACACCCCTTTTTTGATACAGAGACACACCCTTTTTGATACAGAGAGAGAGAGAGAGAGAGAGAAACCGTTACAATTTTATGTACTTGTATATGTACATGTATATGTAACTGGGCATATGATGGACTACTAAATTATTAAGAATCGATAACAGAAAACACAATATGCACCATCATGACAAAATAAAGATTTTTTCCATTTCTTGTATGGCATTACCTTGTACGCCATTCAGTTTGTTCCTAAAAATATAGCATTTATTTTTTTTAAAAATGCGGATTCTTTTTACTTTTCACGATAAATTGAAAATGGCAAGTATTCATTTTGAAATTTTCAGAAAGAACGAGGGCGCTTTTGATTGGCATTCGGCAGGAATCTGGACGCACTTGAAAAGTTACAAATTCAATGATCTGTCACATGAAATTTTAACATTTTTTTGATGTATCGGGTTCCTGTGAAATAGGAAAGGGAAATATTTTCCCGATGTTGTATTCTGATTTGCTGAAAAAGAACTTGAAAATTGGCTAGATGGGTCATTTGGTACAAATTGTTACATTTTTAAACACCTTTTTATAACAATTTGCTATCTCTCCATGATTTTGAAACGTTATTTGTGTGCATTTTAATTCAAAGAAACTAGCAAACATTTGTAAAAAAAAAATGGAGACAAGACCCAGAGACCATAAAAAATGAACTTTTTTCAAAAAAAATTCCAATGTGTAAACGCGGTGCTTCATTGTCGTTTTAAAAACCATTTAGTGTGCGTAGCGGTGATAGCTCAGTAGTATGCGTTACCCGCCCAGTGCAATGAAAAGGTAATATTTTTGGTTCGATCATCGCATGGAGCGTTAATATTTTTTTTAATACAAACAATCAATTATTTTGTCAGTTTAATTTTTAGTACTGGTTTGTTTTAAAATGGATAAATTCTGGTTCTTTTGCACCGAAAAGGAAAGTAATTCTTCCACCTACTGATACTTTAATATACACATGTACATGTACTTTCATTTAACTATACCCCGTAGGTGTTTATTATTTATGTGAAGCGTAACTATAAGTTATACATGTAGTAATTATTAAGATAAGCGGACTGATGTATTAAATTTGACAAAGTATTTCAAAATAAATTTAACATTTTCCCCATGTGCGTAACTTTGTAAAGTATGTCCAGCTGTGGTCAGCCGACCAAATCGTAGACATTTAAACTATAAATGTTTCGTACGCCTTATTCCTGCAGATCACACGCCAAACACGCCCATCTTCTTTATCATTCATTGTTTGAACATTAATACATTGTCATACATGGACGTTATAATTGTTAAAAAAAAAAATACAGTCATTTCCGAGTCAAGTTTCTCTGACAGCTGATTCTCAGAAGCTTTCGAGTGACCTTGTTGCCCCTTGTCCCTAAGGTAAAATCCTCTTTAATTAGTATTCAATATCAGGATATACTGACTTTCAAGTTTATTTACGAAATTTTTCGTCTTTTGAACGTTAACAACTTTTTCTGGACGCAGGCACGGGTCTGTGATTTTTATGAACGAGGGAGGGGGCAAGGTCATCAGTACACAAAAATTCCATCTGAGAAACTTGTTGACAGCCTAAAATCGTAATGGAGTTTTCGAGCACGATAATTTTTTTTAAAAAAAAGCCTACATGGTTTTACGATGAATTTAATTTTTTTTGGAATATAGATATTAACCAAAGCAAAAGAAGATAACTGTGCTTTTGTGGAAAAATTAACCCCACCCCCCACCCCACCCCCCCCCCCCACCCCCCCAAAAAAAATATGTTGGGAAAAATAATTTTTACGTCAAAATTATGACACAAAATGTATATCGTACAGTCGATTTACAATACCTCATACTCAAAATACAACAATCAAATGTGTGTAACTGCAGGATTGTCAAAACTTATGAGATAGTGTTAAAATGAATCTCTAATAAGACAATCTTTTCTGAAGAAATTGATTAAGTTATGTAGCTAAAAACATCATGTCAACTACCTCCCCGAGTGGGTGTAAACCCCCCCCCCCCCCAATCTTCATCTTCATAGTTTGTGAAATTAAATAATGCATTTTTTAATTAAAAAAACTTCTTAGAACCGTAATTCTTCTTAAGGAATGGTTAAATCGTTTTCAAATAAGTAAAATCGCTTTATTTTATGTTTACACCGGAACTTACGCCTACCCATGAGTAGACGTAAATATTTGGCCTAACTTTAGTCCGGTGTAAAGATACGCTATTTAATGAAACGCAAATCGTTGTGCTAGTCCCGACTTTACGCCGGCGTAGCGCTACGACTGGGCGTACGACCTTTGATGAAACGGGCCCCTGGAGCAGAGAAGAAGATTTTCAAAGAAATAATGCACTTTCAATATGATCTATATAGCCCCACCCTAACACTAGAACCTGGGGCCTTGTATTTCACAATTTTGGTAGAGGACCCATTGCTTATTACAATCATGAGAACAGTTCAACTGCTTGATGTACAGGAGTAAAGATTTTTAAAGATAGCACTAATTTTGATGAATTTCATGAAATTCACAAATTTGTTTCACTTCACTCATATATCTGTATGCCAAAATTGGTTGGCATTGGTTCAGCGGTTCCAAAGAAGAAGATGAAAATGTTCAAATGTTAACGGACGACGCACATCGCACAATGCAAAAAGACGAGAAAAAAAAGATATAGCATTGGGTCACCTGAGTGACTCAGGTGACCTTATAAAACTGAAAGAATTTAAATAATTATAGTACTATTTTTTAAAAATTTTTCTTTTCACATCTCCTTGATCTAACAATTTTAAATTGAGTTCAAGTTCCTTTTTTCTTGTTGTTCTACAATAAAATATTTGATATAGGAAATGAAAGCCTGAAACACTTCCCCCCTTACGTTATCTATTATACAATATTATTTGATTTTAGTATTCAAAGTCGAGGAGATATCTACTTCCAAACATCCATAATTTACAGTAACCTAGTCCGTGACTGTAATACAACCTGAATAACTTTAACCTTGCTGAGAGAAACTGAAAAATCTTTTTAAAAACATTGCCTGAAAGCAAAGCTATCGAAAGGAACTTGTAAATGATACATATTAATATATTTTAAAAAAAATCTTATAGTATACGCTATTATAGTTATTTTAACATCATCATTCTGAGATGGGGTCGGGTTTTTTTTTCATTTGTTTCGTCACCTTATTTCTTATTTTGACCTTTGTATAACCTTGATTCAGTTCATGACATAGTCAATTAACTTTAAAAATGAAGTTTTTCTTCCTTCGTTTACAAAAGTATCTGCTAGAAAAATATATTAGCAGGGGGGGGGGGAGTGTCAAATGGAAGTCTTTGATTTTATTTTACATTTAAAAATTATAGACCATATAAAATTTGCATCTAAGCTATCGTGGATTTTTACCTTAACCCAATGGCAATCTTAAGTGTTGTTATAGACATGAATTTTACACTTCTAATATCTGTAAACTCTAATATCTCATATTGATTCCAGGTACTCTCATAATTTTAGTTATAAAGAATCAACTTTCAAAAATAAGATTATGTCTTGGTACTGTTCACTTAATGGGATCTGGACAAAGTTGCATTTCTGTTTTGTTTAAACCTTAAAATTTCTATTTTTGTTCAAAAATAACCAGATTAATAAAATGAGCTTACATGTACATGAAAATTCTTAAAATTCAATGACAACGATATTCTTCATAACATAACGTGAAACATCTGCGTTTGTAAACATGGACACGAGCTCTGTTATTGTTAATGTTTACGTTTTATCGGGTGTGTCCAGCATCACTGAACATGAACTGACAACAATTGTGTGTTTGTTTTGCTTTCTCACATTTATACTCTGAACTTTCTGGATTAGAGTTTAATATACAACCACTTTTCTTAAATATTAAGGATACCTTTTATTTCGTGAAAGTTAAGGATGTGTCAACCAAACGCATGCTTTAATTTCTAGTTTTGATAATTTTCAGATAAAAGTGTTTCTAATCATGCTTTTATAATATATCGGTCTGAAATATTTGCATGCAAATCATGATATTAAACCGAAAATTTTTGAAAATATTAACTTCAAATCTGTGTCCAAGTCCCTTTAAAAAATTATGAGAAAAGTTAAAATGGTAGAGGCACAGTTCTAGAGAGACAAATATACAAGCAGACAAAAAAAAATCACAACGATGCTTGTTCTCAGGAGAGTGGGGGAAATCAGTAGTTAACTGAAATTGTAAATATTTTAATTTTGCATTTCTTTAAATTTCAAGTACAACTATCTAAAGCTGTTTTATGACAAATAAATCAAGATTCATGTTGATATAATATCCAGTCTTTTTTTTTCTACGTTCTGATTACTTTGTGATACAGAGTGACGGTTTATCACGTGCAGGAGTTGGCATTTGTGGCAGGAAGTCTTATAGAAAATTGGCAAAATTCTGCAAATTCTTCCCAGCTACAGCCTTTGGAGTAGCAACACTCGTTCAGAACATTCCTTTTACTTCTCATGCCCATTACTGGGGATAAAAACTTCATAGAAGCAGATTTTTCTATAAAAACTCCATTGTCTTCAGAGATTTCTGTAAATAAGTAGTCATACTTTCACAGATTAATAAATCCGATGATAGAATTCTTAAAATAAAACTATTGAGAAAATGAAGAAAGTACTTACCCTCATCAATGTGCCTCTGTTTAACTGAATGGTCCCAGTCTGCTGAGCGTTTCCGGATTCTGTAAATGTCCACCCGACAGGCCAAGTCTACATGTTGATCCAGTTCATAATGACAAACCCGATGACAGTCTGTGTGCCAGAGAGATCGCCACTCGTTCTCTGTCCTGTCAGAATTCAAATCTTTATTAACTCACTCCACAGTCTAGCACATTCGTATTATATATGAAACGGGGTTGAAATATAATTTAGTAGGGCATGACAAAAACTGGATATATTTTGCTATCCAGATCTGTTTTAATTGGATTATATTTGAACAATTTTTTTTTGAATATCTGATGAATATATTTGTCGGACAATCCAGCTTTTCCTTACGTGATCAAAGTTACAAAACAAAGGTTGCTGGAAAAGTTCGCGGAGACAGTTATTTACGGGAAATGCACTGTGCATTTGTGGGTTTGACCACGAATGAAGTAGATATATATAATATTAGTTTCATTACTTGACGTATTCTACTGATTGGATTTAAATACAATCAATTAATTTATAATAAACAACATAATGTTTCAAAGTGATCTGCTATATCTATGTAATTTTCTTTTCTTATCTCCTCTATGTTCTGACCCCTGGTCTCAAATTTATGGTTGAGCCTTAGCTCCCAGATCTGTTTCTAAACACTGGGTTTCAAACACTCATTAAATATAATTTGCTCCTTTTTAAAACAGTAAAAATTTATGACATCCAAATGCAGTAATTTGAGACAAGTAATTTTTTAGAATTCAGAGAATTTAAAACTAACTATAACAATCTAGTTATATTAAATGAATTTTAATTCATTGCAATTTGACATTTTAAATTTGCGTTAATTTTATGAAAATAATTTCTTTTTCTTAATTTTCGATACCGTCACGGTAGCTCAGTCGGTAGAGCGCTTGCTCCGTGATTGGAAGGTTGTGTGTTCGAATAACGGCCGCGACTGAAAGTCGATAAAAAATAGGTAGCAACTGTTCCTGCAACTGATGAGACCTTATAAACCGAGGCCCCTTGTCACGGTAGGCGTTGGCACGATAAAGAACCCTTAATGCCCGATGGCCCTGAGTACCGAGTGACGTCTCTATATGAGTGAAAAATTCTCGAAAAGGACATTTGTTTAACGTCCCTCTCGAGAATTTTTAACTCATATGGAGACGTCACCACTTGCCAGTGGACAGCTGCAAATTTTGACCTATGCTCGGCACTTAGGGCCATTGAGGGGATCTGTTTCGTGCTAGCATCTACTATGACACGGGACCTCGGTTTATATGGTCTCATCCGAAGGACCGGTCCCACAGTGGGATCAACTCTTCACTCGGAGACTCTAGAGCAAACATTCTAACCACTGTGCCACAAGGGCGACTCGAACGTGACGTAAAACAACACACAATCGATCAATCAATTTTAATTGTTTAATTTTATTATGTTTTCTCAAAAATAATTTCAATTTTTATTTCTTAATCACAAAAAAATTTACGCTGTCGGAAAATTCATTAAATGAAGAAAATGAGCAATCTGTCACTTTTTGGAAAACAATTTACTCATGACAGATTGCGAAACAATTATTTGATCTACTAAATAAACTGCAAAATTCTTTTTATTTCGGCCTTTTTGTTGGTAAATTCTTTTCGAGATTGGCTTGACACATCGCTATGACACAGGTATAAAATTATTTGTACGATTTAGAATCTTGTTTATTTTTAGAAACTCAAAACGCATATTTAGCTAATTGACTTCATTACCTTTCGGCTCTTTGATAATGTAAATAATCAGTGTCAAGCCTTTCAAAAGAAATTGCCGACTTACCTGAAATAAATTTTGTAACAAGCATCCTGATTGGTCAGAGGTTCAATTCCGAAGTAGAGTCCGGATAGATTGGGAATTTAGCTAAATAAATTCACTTTCTATCCGATGACTCTCCAATAAACAACATTCAACTTTAATTGAAATTGTTTCTCTTTGCCAATTTAGGTAAGCTTGTGTTATTTTTTTTTTTCATTCGAATGTTAAAGACATTTAATTTAATTTAATAATTAAATTAATAATTAATTTAATTTAATAATTCAATTTAAAATTTAATTTATTATAGTTTTTTAATTAATAGTTTAATAATTTTCTCTAAAGTATTTTTAATACAGAATTATGATAAATTCCTTAGTTCATTTGACTTACACCTAACTTTACATATTCTCGTTATAGAAAATGTTCATAGAGCATGCACTTGTGTATAGAATCGACTGGGAGACATAAACTCCATATGCAGGTGATAAGGGTATATTGCTACATATACATAAATAAGGGAAGTTGACGATAGAAAAGTTGAAGTCGTCAGGTTTATCATAAAGTTTTGTTGTTATGTTACCATTAACGTCTTTTCTAGTAAAATATCCAAATATGAAACAGATGTGTCAGTCTCTGTGGTATCTTTTATTTCAAGTTCACTGGGATATATCGAGTCGACGTATGCTTGGAAGTATCTATTGTTAGTTGATAATACGTCGTCGATATATTTAGATGTCGAGTTGAAGGCAACAGCAAGTTGTTTTATTCTTCTCCTGTAGAAGTTTTTGAATAAATTCTGCTTCACATGAATATAAAAATACATCTGCTTATATAGGGGCACAATTGGTACACATGGGAATTTCGACAGATTGTTGGAAGACCTGATCTCCAAGAACTACGTAGATATTGTCAATCAGCAACTCAGGCATCCTTTTAATATCAACTTCGAAGTACTTGCGTGTACAATCAGAATGTTTTAGCAGACTGACTAATTTTGCAAATGACCAGTCCCTAACAAAATATTCTATAGTAAACTATAGTTAACTGTAGTTTACTATAGTTAATTAAAGTATCAAAGTAAAAACTTTGGAACTTTGATTCACTATAGTAAAAACTTTGGAACTTTGATTTGCTATAGTGAAAACGTTGAAACTTTGATTTACTAGAGTGAAAACTTTGGAACTTTGATTTACTAGAGTAAAAACTTTGGAACTTTGATTTACTATAGTGAAAACTTTGGAACTTTGATTTACTATAGTGAAAACTTCGAAAATTTGATTAACTATTGGAAAAAACTTTGAAACTTTGATTAACTAGAGGAAAAACTTTGATACTTTGATTAACTAGAGGAAAAACTAAACCTTGATTTAGTATCGTAAAAACCGATACATGTACTTTCATTTACTACAGTAAAACCCGTGGAATTATGTTTTTGATTCCCGTTCTTGACATTTTATGATATTTCATGGTCAAATTCATAAAAGCTTCAGAAAACTTTTTATTAACCTAAACCCTTCCCTTAAAAAATGTACAAGAAATGAATTTTAATTTAAGTTTGTCTCTCGTGTCGATAGATAAGCAACATTTATTTAAATGTATTTAATTTAATGCACATGTAGTTTAAGTTTTTTTAATGGAGAAAGGAAAAAAATATATACTATAAAATAAAAGCGTCATTTTGAACCAAAACACGTGCTCCATCAACTTCAGTAAACATGTATTTTCTTAAAAATTTATAAATGTAAATATTACATTAAAATTAAGTAATTTGTAAATTTAAATTAAGATGTACAACAACCCAAAGCCCCACCCAACCCCATCTCTACCCCCTAAAAAGGCAAAATAAGCATAACATTAGTTAAATACTTTAATACTCAGTAAGTTGATAAACTATTGTGAAAACTTTGAAACTTAGATTTACTAAAGTGAAAACGTTGATTTACTATAGTGAAAACTTTGGAACTTTGATTTACTATAGTGAAAACTTTCAATTGGAACTTTGATTTACTATAGTGAAAACTTTGAAACTTTGATTTACTATAGTGAAAATTTGGAACTTAGATTTTCTATAGTGAAAACTTTGATATACTATAGTGAAAACTTTGAAACTTTGATTTATTATAGTAAAAACTTTGTAACTTTGATTTACTTTGAAAAAATCCGTGGAATTATGTTTTTGATTCCCGTTCTTGACATTTTATGATATTTCATGGTCAAATTCATAAAAGCTTCAGAAAACTTTTTATTAACCTAAACCCTTCCCTTAAAAAAAGTACAAGAAATGAATTTTAATTTAAGTTTGTCTTTCGTGTCGATAGATAAGCAACATTTATTTAAATGTATTTAATTTAATGCACATGTAGTACAAGATTTCTTTAATGGAGAAAGGAAAAAATATACTATAAAATAAAATTTGCGTCATTTTGAACCAAAACATGTGCTCCATCAACTTCAGTAAACCTGTATTTTTTTTTTAATTAAAAAATGTAAATATTACATTAAAATTAAGTAATTTGTAAATTTAAATTAAAATGTACAACAACCCAAGCCCCACCCAACCCCATCTCTACCTCCTAAAAAGGCAAAATACAATGTAAGCATAAAATTATTTAAATACTTTTATAAGTTGATAAACTATTGTGAAAACTTTGAAACTTAGATTTACTAAAGTGAAAACGTTGATTTACAATAGTGAAAACTTTGGAACTTTGATTTACTATAGTGAAAACTTTGGAACTTTGATTTCCTATAGTGAAAATTTTGGAACTTTGATTTACTATAGTGAAAATTTTGAAACTTTGATTTACTACAGTGAAAACTTTGTAACTTTGATTCACTATAGTAAAAACTTTGTAACCTTGATTTTCTATAGTATAAACTTTGTAACTTTGATTGATTATACTAAAAACTTTGATTAACTATAATAAAAACTTTGAAACTTTGATTTACTACAGTTATAACTTGATACTTTGATTAACTATAGTTAACTATAGTAAACTATGGTTAACTTTAGTTTACTATAGTATTGTTTTGTTAGGGGTGACAAAGTAAGAGAAATTACGGAATCCATTTTTATTGAAAAAGCAGCTGTCTATGATGTCAAAAAGCCTGTGCTTTGATTTATCTTGAGGAATTGTTGTATTAAGTGTTGAGAAGTCGTACATTTTGATGTTATTGATTTTGGTAAAATTTTGTGATTTCAAATTTTCTAAAAGTTCCTTAGAGTTTAAGTATCCATATCTGATTTACACCTTTTCTCGAATATATTGTTGTACAGTACTTCTGAAGTTTCTCCTTCACTGCTGTTAATATTTTAGTGAGTTAATATTTTAGTGAAGAAAAAAGCTTGGTA